TTTAGGGTTTGGGGTTAGTAGGGAGTAACGGGATGTTATGTCAACAGAGAGAGAGAGGGTTTAATAAGGTTTAGAGTGAATAGGGAATAAGGAAAAATATATGTGTACATAAATATATGTGTGTATATATATATATTTAAAGAGAGAGAGAGAGAGAGAGAGAGGGAGAGAGAGAGAGAGAGAGTCTAAGGTTTAGCGTTTAGGTTAATGGGAAATAAGGGAATATAGTCCCTATATGATCCCCACCTATTACATTACCGCATTTCCTACTAAGCCCCCGTAACAGAAGGCCTCTCATTTTGTTGCAGAATTCATACATGCACAGGTATATATGCATAAATACACACATAGACATTTGCGTATAGGCATATCTATACCTGTAGATGTGTGTATATGTACATATACACATATGTGTGCATATACGAGAATGTGTGTGTATATATATACATATATATAGAGATATGTACACAGAAATATATATATATGTATATGCATATCTATATATGTGTGATTGAATATAATGCCTCTGCGCATACCCTGCACATATCCTATAGGAAATCAAAGGAAACCTTTTTGCAAGAAGTCCCCTCCCCTCTTCCCAAACAACAAACTCCCAGCATTCATGCTTTGGAACAGGGGCTTGGGGGGTTAGGGTTTAGGGTTTAGGGTGAGGGCATCAAAATCCCTGCAGAATCCCCAATATATCCCTCCAGACCCTCGATACTGTAGTAGCTGCGAGTTTCTGATTCATTCCGTCGTTGCTCACTGCCCAACCTAAACCCTTAGGATAATCTGAGGAGAAGTTCTCAAAACAATCCCGAAAGAATCCCTAGTCGGGACCCCATAGTCCCCTTAGAATCCTTGAAAATCTCTCGGGGTTGCTAGGGCCTCCTTTGCTGAGCAACTCCTCCTAAACCTTGAACCCTGAACCCTAAATCCTAAATAGTAGTGTCCATTTTCGCTACCACTATCCCTATAAAACCCCTATATAACCCTATATGATCCCTAAACCCTAAACCCACGTGAAGATCCCGCGGATGGCCTGAAATGCCTGTTGATGGATCACAGCAGACCCAGCCCACCTTTCACAGAAACAGCGTAGAACGTATGAGCTATAGCCTAAACTCCTGGTATCCCCCCTAATAACCCCTACATACCCCTACAACAGTGCCGTATATAATCCCCGTCTACAACCCCCTTTGAAGGAGTTTAGACTGCAGTTCATACGGGTGTTTGCCAAAGTAAGTTTAGGGTTTAGGGGTAATAGGGGGCCATAGTTCCCTTTAAAATTCTAGACGGGAGTGTCTTGCGAAGGTCCATGTAAGATATCTACATCCACCCATTTTAAGTAGCAAACGAAATCCTAAACCGGGTCCGGATCCCTAAACCCTAAACCCCGAAACCCTAAACGTATCAAGGAAAGGTGGGTCCCAGCCATGAGCATGAAACTAGTCTGAGGTTTAGGGTTTAGGGTTTAGGGTGTAATCCCCCTCCCCCAAATGTGCAAACAAAGATGGGGATTGGTCTAGAAGTGCTTTGGGGAAATTATGTTGGGCTCCTGTAGGTTTACAGGGAAAAGCAAGGGGAATGTAGTTTCCATAATGACCTTCTGGGTGCCGAGTTTTGATCAACTACCATATACCATGATACGTCTGGGGGAGGAATGCTATTTTTGCTAGGGAGTGGGGAGGTCTAAACCCTAAACACGTTATTTTCCATTATCCCTAGGACGAGTCCCTCTTCTTCACAGGCAGCCATCGTTAGGAATACCAACCTACGGGCAGACCATGCTTCTGCCCTCAACCCTAAACCTGAAGCGTGTTTGAACCGAGGCCCCCCTTGCTCTGCCTTTAAAGTTGTCTTGGTCCTTCTCATGGTGATCCCCTACCTCCTGTGGGGTTCTGTTGGGGTTATACAGGGAGAATGGAAGTATATAGGCATAGTGGAAAAGAAAATGGAAACCCATGTTTGCAACAGACTCAAGCCCAAAAACCCAACACCCAAGATCTAAAATCCAAAGCCCTACATCCCGAACCCCAAAGCCTAAACCCTAAACCCTAAGCCCGCATGGCCTCAACTTGGCATGTGGTGTCGCATCCATCACCTTCCCATGCTGAAGGCTTCAATGTGTTGGAGGCCGTTGGTTTAGGTGAAGGCATTTTGAACCCTGTAGAACCCCTGATTCAATCCCAGCGTCCATTCAGGCGTCCGATTGTCCATGTGCTTCCCCACTGGCTCCCTCATAGAGATCCCTACACAACCCCCAATCATGTAGTATTTGCCACTCTCTTGTCCATTCCTTCATTCTCCACTAAAACCCTTAAGATGTATTTCCATATTCTTCCCATTCCTTCATTCCCTAAACCCTAAACCTTAAGCTCTAAACCTTCAACCCTAAACAATAGATTTTCTCCTGGGATTACACGAGGAGATCTGCGGGGAGGGTCGGATGCACCTGCCACGAGGTTGCCGTCATCGCACGCCTGCGCTGTATGTGAGCTGCAGTCTAAACTCCTACTATCCCTCTTCATGACCCGTTTCGGGTTCAGTCTGAAACTCCTAGTATCACCCTTTATAATTCTCAAAATGGGATCCCTAGAAATGATGCCCATATCACCCTCTCCAAGCAGTGGAGACTATAGCTCATGTGAGTCGTGCTTTTGCTAGTTGAATCACGTAACGTGATACTTGGAGGGTCAGGGGGACTTAGTAAGTAGGTTATTAATGGGGAGAACTAGGGCTACTATAGTACTATAGGAGTTACAGGGTCTATTAACCTACTTACTAAGTCCCCCTAGCCCTCCAAGTTTGCTAGTTGAATCGTGTAGCACGATGATTACTCTAGCTGGCCATACTACATCATAACTTAACAGGAGGATATCGTCTTACCGTATGATATTCGGAACTATAGTATCTCCTCATGTGCTGCTCCACGATGTCACGCGCGTGGCAACCTGGCGGCTTGCAAGCCGTCTTTTTAACAATGACAACGTTGCTCTATCGGGTGAAACATCTACCAATCAAAGAGGCTGAGACAATCAGAATTTTAGGACACTGATCTCCATCTTAGGAGCTTTTAGCTTCCGTTGTATCTCGAGGTTCTTCTTTACCTTCTCCTCGCTCGGTCTGGGCTCCTCCCGGCATGCAGCTCGTGCTCTCGCGTAGAGCATCTCAGCCCGCCTGGATGCGCCCTGCGCAACAACAAGCCGCTCCAAGATTGATTCGATGGCATCGGGTGCCACATTTCGAACCAGCACTGGCATGAAAGCATCTGCCAGTGCCTTCAAAAAGCGTATGACTGAGCTGAGTGGTGGCATGCGGGGGGCAGCTTTCTTGATCTCCCCGGCAGGTATGCCTTGATGTATGCGCAGCCAACTCAACAGAATCTTGGTAACCTGCTGCATGTCTTCAGACTTCAAACAAGCCTTCAGCAACATGACATTGTTTTTCTGCGAAGCTCCACATCGACGAACGAGTTCTGCCAGGTAAGGCATGGTAAGCAGTGCGTTGCCGCTTTCCTCATCACGCTTCCGCTTGCGGCTTAAGATGTCAGCCCCTCCGTCCAAGGATCTTCGAGCCTGTCGCGACTCTGCGCAACGTCGGCCCACAAGGCCTTTCAGACAGAAAGGTGACAGCAACCACTTGATGGCTGCGAAGCCACCACCCGCACAAGCCAGGGTCACAGAGCCGGCCGTTTGGGCGATGACCGGCCGAGGCGCATTCGAGCCGTTCGACCAGGGTGCCTTCCCTGATGCGACTGTCAGCCCATAATTGGCCTCCCGAAGGTGGAAAGCCAGCGAATCCTCCAAGCAGTGCCATTCAGCATAGTAGCCTGCTACACCGTGCCAGCTGCGTGTGGACGGCTCGGGTGTGAGCCTGAGAGTGCAGTCTTTGTCACTCAACGTCGTGCTGGCAAAGTGGCGCACCGTTCCAGACTCTGAGTGGCCATTTGGAGTACTGCCATTTACCAGGACTGTCTCACGCCAGCACAGCAAGATGCGCTCTCGGTCCATGTCAGCAACAGTCACGGACTCCAGTTGCCCAAGCGGCACGCTGATGGAACCCATGTGAAGCGTGCCCTTTCTCTGCAAGGATGCCGCATTGAACTCGTCGAGTTCTATGACCATAAACTCGGGTCCAATATTGCCTCGGGACTCTCTGACCATGAGCACACACCTGGGTGAAAGCTGGGCAAGCACCACAGACTTCTTTGCAGCTTCGGCAAGTTTCAGGCCTTTGCCACTCTTTCCGGTTGACAGGTTCACAAAGCGGATCTGCCCACTTGAGATAGCCAAGGCAGCAAAGCCATCCCCTGCATCACAAACTGCCCGAATCTCACCTGGAAGGCAAACCCTCTCCAGGAGCTGCGCAGATGGTGCCTTGCCATCTTTGCACACAAGCTGGTAGCAAGCCCAAGATTTCGGGGGCGTCTCCGCGAAGGAGATGAACTTGGAGTCCCCGGCGCTCTGGTGGAGGATGCCAAGGCTTGCATCAATGGATCCCGAAAAGCGTGCACCGTCCCTCCAAGAGCCACCTTCTGACTCCAGGTCTAGGTACTTGAACCCAACACCTGGGAGTTTCTCGAAACAGGGTACCCAGAAGGACTTTCGGGACTCAAGAACAAGAGGGGTTTGAAAGGAGATTGCGGGGGTCTCCCTAAAGGCTTACAACCCTAATCAACCCTGAACGCTACCCCCTAAACCCTAAGCCCAAACCCTGTTCCCACCTGGGAAGAACACAATGAAGCTCCCGGCCGTGTCAGTTGGACCGATCGCAGCGGCCTCACCCCAAGATGAGGCTGGCACTTCCTTGGATTTGGTTTAGGGTTTGTGGGGTTTTGTAGGCCTTGTAGGGTTTATGGGGGTTCAGGGCTTAGGGTTCAGAATTTAGGGTTTTGGGATTAGGGTTCTATAATACGGGCACCCTGTTATTTACTCTATGCCCAATAATATGGTAACTAAACTTCTCTAACCGCGGCCCAGCTTCCAGAGCTTCAAAATCTAGTCCACGGGCTCGGAAAGCCACCATGGCGGCATAGGGGAAATCTAAGAGCCAACTCTTTTGAAGCCAGCTGCAGCTGGTTTAGTACACGTTCAGCTGCTTGAGCAGCCTATGTCTGCAGGTGACAGCAGCTGACTTCACTCACACTCGCGACATCCGAAACGAAATTCTCATTCGAGGATTTCCATAGATTAAGGGTACCATTTTGAGGGGTCCCTAAATAAGCACTATAATGTATGGGGGTTTACAGTGGGGTTCCCTTGTTTTGGGAAGCTACCATTCAAAACGGCACAAACCGTGCAGGCTTTACCAGCCCTAAACTCTAAATTTCCCAAAATACGAGTTTCCATGTTCTTTTCCATTATACCAATATAACCCCAGTATAACCCCTATATAACCCCTATATAACCCATTAAAGCCTCTTTAAAGGGACCCCTACTTTCCAAAGGCCGAAACCCCAGATAAACCCTATATATCATTACATAACCCTATATAAGCGATTAAAGCCCCTTTAAAGGGACCCCTAATTTCCCTAAACCCAACCCTGTGTACCCTAAACCCTAAACCCTAAACCCTATCCCTATACTTTGCCCCAACCCTCCCTGCCTCTGTTCCAGCCATCATAGCATCCCCGCAGACTGGAGAACAGACTGACGTGGCGTTCGTGGGGCCGTAGACATAGGATCGGCATGTCCACCCCACCTGCGAAGATATATAAGGGGTTATATAGGGATCATATTGGGGTTATATATGGATTATATAGGGGTTATTTTGGGATAATAGAAAATAAATTGGAAGCTACTATTTTAGGGTTTAGGGTTTTGGGTTTGGGGTTGAGATAGGAGACATGACAGGTTATGACAAATATGGTTTGCCAAAGGTGTCCGGTCAAATGCGGCCCCCAATAGCTAGCATACCCAAAACGGATCATAATGCTGAAAATTTCCCACATCAGAAGTGGTGACAGCTGACCACCCTCTTGAGGCATAAAAGCCGTCTACTTTGCGCAGTTGGCAGATAGGGGTTTCCCAAAATTAGGGGTACCTTTTTGGGTGTGCCTATAATAAGGACTTTCTTATGTTGGGGTCTATATTGGGGTCCCCATATTTTGGGAAACTACTAGATAGCGAATATTATGAGCCAAGTGCTACGCAGGCTTCTACACTTAACACCTTGAATGTGTTTCTTTGAGTTTCCATGCCGAACCCCTACATCCCCGCATTTCCCTGCAAATCTGCATTCCCATACATCTCCATGCCTTCGGCCCTTCCATCAAGGTTCAAGTGAATGAAACCTAAACATCCCTTTTGTCCCTCAACCCTAAGCCCTACACCATAAGCCCTAAACCCTAGGCCCCAGACCCTGAACCCTAAAC